TTTTATTCAGTATTTATTACTTCTCATTCCGAAAAAACAAATTCTAGTAATAGGCAAGTTGCAATAGGCTTCTGGTCTCATTCTTTTAGTTGATTTGCCAGAATAAAAAAAGAAACATTCTTAGTTTACTGTATACTCCAGGGAGTTCCACTGATCCTATCTTTCATGTAATGGAAAGTTGTTGTAGATCTCCAGGTTAGATTTGTTTGGAGGAAATGAAAAACCAAAGAGGAATCTAGTAAAAAAGCTGATTTTATATATATTTGTTTGGCCATAAACAGCTATTAGAATACCTCATCAGACAATTTGCAGTGAAGGCTAAACACAAGGGAAAATATATTTGGCACTTGTCATAGAGATGGTCTTGGTCTTTGTGCATTGAGCTCAGTTTTCACTAAGGGTCTTACTAATATAGTTCAGCAGTAGATTAAGCCAAACTATAATACATATATGCACCTTGTTGGTAGAGTTTATTAATAAGTTTCAAATTTAAGATTGTACTTTTTACTAATTATTACAGTAGATTTGAGATGGACAGAATCGCCTTAAAGAAAAAAAAAAAAATGGGTAAATTACTTTTTCCCTCCATATTTAACTGTATTTAGTGAAATACTGTTTTTTTTTTTAATAATCCTTGTATCATTTGAGCTACTTCAGTCATTGTTAGAATTTCAAGTCAGTATTGTCAAGCAAGAGTGGAACATGTAGTCTTGAACCTTTCCCCAGACTGGTTTTTACTTGCATTTTTTTTAAGATTTGTAGAATATTTCTTACCTTTCAAACAGAAAAAGTTTTCTATTTTTGTTGTTGTGTAATCCAACATTTTACATACTTTACAATTGAAATAAAAGATTAAAAAAAAAAAAAACACAGATTCAACTTTCAACACAAATGTATTTACAAAACAAATCAGTCACTGAAAGTGAAAATTGGAAAAAGAGTTTTTAGACTCCTTCCAATTTATCATTTTGTTGATAACAATCAAAAATGGTTGAAAAGAAATGCTAACTTCTCAAAATTTTTAGATGATAAAAAGTAATGCATAATGAAGAATCTTTCTTTAATTTCCTCAAGAAAGCAGTGAATCTGAAAGTGCATTCATAATGTATGTAGAAACAGAAAAGATATTTCCAAGTCACATTAAACTTTCAGCAATTTCACATACATTGAGTGATCCTGACTTCTATGCATAAAATTTGATTCTTATCAAGTTGTTTTTCTTACTGAGAAAAGGAAATGTGTCTATCATGAAAAGTGTAAATTTACTACATAATTATGATGCTCTCAACCTAAGATTGATTGAAATAGGGAAAATTTCAGACAAAAATTAGTTTATAACTCAAATTAAACCATACATACATATATATTTGTGCAAATATTCTATGCATTATACAAAGTGTCCCAAAAAATGAAAATACAACTTGTTTATTAAGAACAGCTGTTTATTACTTGAAAGTTAAACACTTTTAAAAAAGAATGAATATTCTCTTAAAGTGTAATTAAAAAAGGTATTTGATGTTTGTTTAAATGACATTTTATTTAAATGCCCAGAAAAAGAGAATCTTATAAACAGTTGATAAAAAGTGTAGATATTTTTGTACATTCATCGTTTCCGACAAAAACAATTATTGCCCAATTACAAGATAAACATTAATTGTCGTTTATTCTAAAATATATTCTTTTATTATGAAAGGGTTTAATTAACTTTCAAGTAATAATCATAACCTATTAAGAAAGCATTAAGGAAGAAAGACACCCTGGATTGGAAACATTTCTAGTTCTTTGCTCTGTAACATTAATACTGATATTAAATGCAATAAAACTTTAATTATTCTCTTTTAACTTAAAAAAGGAGTTTAAAAAAGAAAAAAGAAAAAAAAAGCAAGAGACAAAATTGCTTAAAAGTGAGAAGCCATTTGTTTTCAAATGTGACATAATTCTGAAAACATTTTTAAGGATTGGGGTAATCCTCTAAGTTGGATTATAACACAAGAAACATGCACAGTATCATCTTCACTTCTTACTCTGTTCTGTGGGGTTTAATAATGAAATGCTGCAATGACTTCTTGACAATAGAACAGAGTGCATTAATTTATACATTTTTTTTTTCAATAGCATCAAATTAGTGAAAACTGAATTTCATTCATCAATTCCATTTTCTCTGAATATTAATTCATGCTTCTTCTACAAAAGTATTGTTGTTATTATTCTTCAAACATTGCTTATTCTCTCATTGAATTTAATTTTACTTTTAATACTATATAATTCTCATACTATATGCCTGCTGCCTTGCATTTGGTGTTCAGAGAGGGATATACAAAGGTGGAAGTCAGTAGCTGCACAATGACTTAACTTCATTTATATGGAAAGAAATTTTTACATAATTAGATACAGCCATTTAAAGATGGAATGTAGACAGGCATTCAAGTGCATTAAAGCAACCTAACAAATAAAAACAATAAATTTGTTCAATTGTAGACAGTAGAATGGTATTGCAACCATAAAAGGAAATTCCTTGAAATACAGAATAACTAATTAAAATTCCAAAACATTTTGAAAAGCTTGATTTAGTTAAAAATCTAGTCCTGGACATGAATGGCTATAAAATAGAAAAATAGAAAAGTCCACTTTAATTTTGTTTGTCAAAACATCTGTTGCTGCTATTTTAATATCAAGCCACATGCAAAGATTTTTCATTCAAAGTTTACTCTTTGGTGAATCTGTAGCACAAAAGATAAAAGTAGAAACAGGAAAAATTCACTTAAATCAAAGATACCAACTGGCATTAAAAGTTACAAGATTGTGTTTTTTTTTTGTTTACAAAATTTTAAATATAAAATTCTAAAAAAAAAAAAAAAAAAAAAAAAAAAAAGAGTCATCCCATCGATACATTATTATACTAAGAAAAACAGAGGCTGCACTGTGATCTTAACCAAAAGGCTAAGAAAGGTTTTCTATTCCAACATAAACAAATGTTTCAGTTTTTCTATTAATCTAGTCGCATTTGTAATTTTTAAATGAATAGATCATTTTTAAAGAATCAGCTAAAGATAAGGATGATCAAAAAGGCCATGTTAGTGAGTCAGACAAAATTTATTTACAAGTTATGCATTGAAAATATTCTAAAGAAAAATTTTGAAGGAAATTATTTTCTCTGAGAAACCAAGTTTCTTCAAGAAAGATCATCTACCATTGAGAAAAAACAAATGTCAATTTCTATAAAATCAGAAGTATTTCTGATTAAAGACAGATCTATGACAAAGAGCTATTTCAAATGAGGAAACAAGCAATGTTGGTTATTGTGCAACATTGAAAAACTCTTGTGATTGTAATTTTGATTTAATAATTCCCAGATTTCAACTGAGAAGTTACGGCACCTTGAGAAACTGATTGTTTATTTTTTTTAAAGAGTTTTTTGTGGTAACAGTTTTTGCTGGAAAAAAGGTTTACAGCCAAATTTTTGCTGGGATCAAATGAGGGTACGCACAAACACACTTAATTGACACAGTCATAAATCACGAGTTATTATTGGATAATTAAAATCTGAAAACTTAAAAACTTCATTTACTTAGTAAACTCAGAGAGCATTTTGTTTGAAGATGAGGGTAAATGAGATGAATGAAAAAAGTTTTAAATTACCTTGAATTTTTTTTGTGCCACTTGGACTAAGAAAATAAAGTATATTTTTTTAAAACTACCATTTCAAATTGGAACAGAGTTGACATACAAAGACAATGACAAAGTGAATCCAGAGAATAATATCACAGCAATAGGCAATTTGGAATGACTGTTAAAGATATGTATATCTGCACTTGGCCAGACATCTACAAATGAACAACATAACCAGGTGGTCTTCATTAGACAATTGTATAAATAATGTATAAATAACAGTGGAATGGATATCAGCTGCACTGACAGATTTACAATAAATTTTTTTGTGCTACTCTACAGCATGCATCACTTTAAAAATAACATTTTAGACACAAAAAAGAAAAGTGACATAAAAACAGAACAAATGATGGCTCTACATTGATACAATTTTTTAAAATGTTCAACAATTTTACATTTGTGAAAAAAAAAAAAAAAAAGAAAAGAATTAAGAATGAGCCAGCTTCAGATGTAAAATTCTTAATAAGATTTTATAATTAAGATTGTTTCAATAAGTGGCAAAAATAAGTTTCATTTCATACATAAATATAGCAAGACAACTGGAATGAACAGGTAAATAGAGGAATTCATATTGCAAGGTTTGGGGATTTTATTCTGAAATTTTGTACCTTGAAGCCTTTTTATATCTGCAGCATCCATTTTCTATTTCTAAAAATGGTGAATAGATTTACCCTAAAGTTTGCCACAACATTGACAAAGCAAGAAAAGCTCTATCAAAAAGACAGGCATAAAGAAATCAATAGAACGTTGATACTCAGCTGCAATACAAGACATTTGATGTTTTTGGTCAAGTACAAATCTTTGGAATGGATATGAAGGAAAATATTTAAGATTGTTGCCCTTGTTGGTGGTCATGATGTCGATTATGGTGATAATGACGATGATGATGATAATGGATGACAAAAGCTGGAAATAGCATTGAGGTCAGCAGTGGTTATCAGATGTTAATGTCTTCCTGTGGAATGAAGACTGTCAAAGACCATGCATCATTGAGCCAAGAGATGAGGAACTAAAAATACTTCACTTGCAGGCTGGTATTTTCAGCTTAAAAATTGGAGAAACATATTTGTCTATTGATTAAACACTTGCATTAAAAATCCATTTTATATCCAAACATCTTAAAAAAAAAAAAAAAAAAAAAAAAAAATATCATTTTGCTAGCAGTGGAAACAAGATGGTGGGGATATCATATGATTTCTTTTAAGTTTTAAAGCCCAAAGTTTGAAGAAGACCTTTGTTGAATGACGGAAACTGAAAATGAGAAAAAACTGACAACCAGAACACCCACTCCAGTTTCGTCTCTTAAAATAGATAACATTTGAAAGACTTACCAAAGGTCTACACCAACCAAAATAATTACTGGGCTGCAACTCAAAATAACATCAACCAATTCAAGTTCCATTGACAATTCTAAAAGAATTACAATAAGAAAACTAATATAAAAATCTATTTTGATAAGCACTCAAAAAATTTTCTTCATTAAAGAATAAATGGGGCTTAAAAAAAAAACAAAGAAAAAAAAAAAAAAAAAAAAAAAAAAAAAAAAAAAAGAAAAGAAAAAGGGGGTGGGGAGGGGAGTTTTTTTTTTTTTTTAAACTCCCAACTAAATCTGGCTCTGAAGTTTTAGACAAAATGATTTATTTTTGTATCATTTTGAATGTTTGCTTTTGCCTGACCAAAGTCAACAACTGGGATTTGTTAGGAATAAATCTGACATTTATCCAGCTGCACCTCAGCATCAACAAGAGTAATTTATTTGTTGATCTAACAGATGCAAGGAAGGTGTTTGATGATTTCTTGAGCTAAACTGGCTTTCTTTTTATGTAGGTCAAGCTCTATGTGAATTTCATCAAGAAGGATCTGAGGAACAACTCCAACATGGGTAGCATTGCAGATGAGCTTTTCCATAATTTTTATTTCTGCTGTTAAATTTTTTGCTGCTTTCATGGCATCTGAAGGGTGATTGTGAGAACCTTGTGTGATAATGCTGGGGGTCAGTACAAGGGCTAGATTTCTGGCTGTCATGCCATTCTTATCTGAATAGGAAGCAACTTTAGCTAGGAAAAGAGTCAGATAACGCAGTGTGTACAGGTGCTCAGGTGGAAGCAGCAGACACAACAACAAAATGGAAGCATCAGCGAATTTGGTGTCTTCATGCTGGATAGCACACAAGAAGCTTTCATAATAGACAGTTGTAAGGAGTGGTTCCTTGAGTTGTCGGAAAAAAGTCTTCACAAGGTCTGTGACATCAAAAAGGGTGGCAGCAGAAAAATCCATATTAGCCTCAATGTCAGCCTGAAAGACACAAAAACAATGTCACTAAATTTAAACAATAGCAAGAACGCAGTTATTTTCAAAACTCTATACCCATAAAAATGAGAGCTAACCTCAGAAAGAAAAGAAAATTTATATAAATTCTATAAACGATTTTTAACTTTCTGCTAGAAATTATAGAAAAACATTATTTCATATATTGGTGAAATCAATTTGCCATTAATTTTATGAAACCTTTGAAAAATTTAAAGCCAGAAAAAGAAAAGTGAATCTATGCAAGTGAAGCTGAGGAAATAAGAAAAATAAGTAAAGGCTGTTGGGAAAAGTACACTTTATATCAGCCTACAAAATTGATGGATTCATTCTAGAAACCAAATTTAATTTTAAATGAAAGAGTGGCAGTATATCTTTTGGCCAAATTATCTTTTTGCATACTTTTCTGACAATTCAGACAATTTCTAAAGATTAGAAAAAAGAAGAGCCTTTGCATTTCATTTAAAATTGGCAGCAGATCCCAATTTATATAAGTTTTGATATTCAGTAAATTGAGAAAAGTTCAAGTGACTTATTAGTTGACTCAAGAGTTTTGCATTGAAAAGCCCATCAGTAACAGATGTTTGTTAAATTTATTGAACTTATCAGATCTCATATTTATACACTTCTGGAATGAGACAGTGCTAATTCTAACTTTCAAATTTGAAATTCTTAACCTACTAGAATTTTGTAAAAAAAAAAAAAAAAGATTTGTAATAATGAAAAGTCTTATTTCTAAACTAGGATTTTATGCTTCGTTCCCTTGTAAATCACAATTGATTTTTAATATTAAAATCAACACTCTGTTTCAGTATTAGCTTATATACTATAGAAAGCATTCTAACTCCTAGAGACAGTAAGATTTTGTACCCAGACTCATAAATGAAATAATCACAAATTTCTCCCCTATGTGAGAAGTCAGTTTGTGCTCAGGTAAAAGCCAGGATTTTAAATACTGATTTTCTAGGCTGGTAGGCCTTCCCACTTTGAAGATTGACAATACATCTGTAGCAACAAAATTTGTTATTTTATGTAATTTCTACCATTCTCAACAGCAAAACTCATAAGGTAAAACTAATGCCAACTTTCTGTAAAGCTACAGCCATATAGGCCGTATAGCAAGTGTGTGTATGTATATACACACACAATTTATACTCTCTACTGTCTTTCCATAGACAATAAGAAAAGCTCCAAACACTTTGAAGCTCACTTTTGATTAGATTTCAGTTAAGTGCAGTGTCCAAGATGTTAAACTTGGGGAAATTATATTTACTTTATCATTTAAGAAATGTCCACATGAGAGGTAATCTTTTTTTCTTAAACATTTTTAGTTGAATGGCAAACGTTTTGTGCCTAATTCAAATGCCTTACTGTGTGTTTAGAGGCTTTTATATTGTTCTAGAATATTCTGTTTTGTTCTACTATATACAAATTTTTTAACCTGGTATTTGCTTTAACAGCCTATCATTAATAATGTACTTTATTCTATTGTGAACATATCTTTTGCATTCTATTTTCTTCATCAACCTTTTGTTATTTTTTTTTTAATAAGAACTTTACATTTCATTCTTAATTCATATGCAATTTGGATTTATGTTATTAAATGGTTTTTGTTAATTTTTTATCTATACCATGAAGTTCCCTTGTTTTTCCTTTGTTTATTCTTCATTCATTTTGGATTCAATGTTTAAAGTCAACTAACATAAAAAAAAAAGAAAAAAAAAAAGAAGAAAAGAGCCATTTTTATTAACATTTTCACTGCAGTATTGTTATAGTATTGTGGCCTATTTTTGGAAAATAGCAAATTACCATTCACTGAAAAAAATAAATAAAGATGCTGATGGTCATTTCTTATGGGTGACACTATTTTCAGTTTCAACTGGATACTCTGCAGCACAGACTAAGCTAAACGCCCACCCCCTCCTTCTCACACACACACAATATAATGAAAATAGGACACAGAGCAAGCCATATTGTATGCTACTTTATGTTTATACTGGTTTCTAGTTAGTTCATAACAAATGCAAGGATCAACATTTCAGTGTTATCCAAACACACACACAGCAACAAGTAATGTAAGTTTTGTAAAGATGTAAAATTACATGTATATCCACAACAGCAGATGTACAAAAACACTTTAAATATAGTTGCAACTACATAAACTTTTCAATGACAACAATGTTTCTTCATTGCAAAAATGTTCCTGATACGACACAGCCATTGTTTCAGTTCTCTTCATTTAGGCAACACAAAAAAAAAATAAAAAAAAATTAAAATCCTTTAGAAAGTAAGAGAATCCACAGCAGTCAATCATTATCTAGTTTTCAAATAGTTTTTAGGAAAACTAGAATTCTAAGCAGTAAATTTACTTCTGGAAAATCAAGTTTTACAAGAACGTAACATAATTACTAATAGAAGAGAGCTTGAAATTTATTTAATTCAGTCTTATTGGTGACAGTAATATATAATTGTTTATTGAAAGCAAGAAAAAAAAAAATGGTTGTATATCAATTTCTGATTCATCTGATGGAAGATTTGCAGAGAATTTATTTCATAATTATTAACATGGCTATTTTCAAAGACAAAGATTTTACTATTGATTACAGGAAATATTACCAAAATCTGCTTTTGCCGTTGATGAGAGCCTGATCGTCTAAAAATGCCTTCAACTTTGAAGTGGTCATTTGCTTCAACATACTCAAAAGCTCGTAGCAAAAATCTGAAACAAAAGTGAATAAATTAAAGCCAGAGTTAGCTTTTAAATAATGTTTTTGAGCTTTTTTTGCCAAATTAAAATTTGATTTGCTTCCAAATTACTTTTGAGTGAGTATTTTAAGGTTAGAAAGAATGCTTTTGTACATGATAAACAATGCAAATGGCAACTTTTTGCTAAGTTTGAAATAATTTACTTAATTTATGTGCAAACAAATTACAAAATTAATTTAAAAAAAAAACTAAAGTAAAATTCAAGAAGCAATTTAATATTTTTTTAAAATTAATATGAATTAATCCACAAGAAACCATATCAAGTTGCTTTTCTTTTTTTTATATTAAATATCTATCTTTCAAAGTATTTTGTACATTCATGCTCTACTTTTGAAAAGTCTTTAATAAAGTAGGATATGAGAAGTAATAAAATATTCCACAAAATAAAAAAAGCAATTTCTACAAGAGATGAAATAGCAAAAAAGCCAGGGAGGAAATAACAATCACAAAGATGGAGAATTTGGATTTGTGTTATACTTACGTTGGTACAAGACCAAAATTCTCTGTTGGATAAAATGGAACATACACCAGATAATTACCAAAAGTCTGGATTGGCTGTTCATACTGAAAGGGGGGAAAAAAAAAAGACAAGAAAATCATATAACTAAAAAGAAAAATGCTGTTTCATGATCAATTAATGTGAAATATTTTGTTATTCTTGTTGGTTGGCACTAAAATTTGAGATCACCAAGATACTGTGCTAGGTCCTTCATGGCATCACTAGGAAAAGACTATTTTGCATTAACTTAATTAAAAATGAAATTCAAAATTACATGCGTTACTATTCAGAACAGCTTGCTCATCTTGGTTGTTATACTTACAAAATTTCAGCTGTTGTACTGTCACAGATGTTTGAGGTTTCCTATAGCCCCACTGAACTTAAAGTCACTTCAGGTTTGCTATGGTAAAAAATTTTCTATCCCAAGTAAAAATCATCACAAAAATGGCAAAAGTCATTTTGTCAGAGCTTATTTTCTCTCAAAAAATGGATTTTCATACTTTTATAGGGGTAAAATATAGAAGAACGACTGTTTTATCATCACCTAAACTAATATCAAGAATACTTTTGATCTGAACCCCATGAAACTAGGTATTTTCTGAAAGCAAAGGATATATTCTTCCATTTAAAAGTAAAATTGCCTGGTGTAAATGACTCAAAATTTTTTTCAGAAGGTAAAATGTGAAAAAAAATAGTGAAAATTTTGCATTTTTTCTAGTTCTAAACAAAAATCTTTCTCATTGATGGGAAATTAACCATTTTTTTGGAAAATCAGAAAGCCTAAATCATAATCAAACTATTTCAAGCATAAAATTGAGAGTTTTGAAGGAAATCAACATTCCTAGGGGGTCAAAATGTGACAAAGTCCATTGGTAATTTTCAATTATATGACTGCCAGTGGTTAAAAAAAATTGACACCCGGCCACGGAAATCTTTAGTAAAAGGCGAAAGATTTATCTGCAATTCCTGACCACCAGAAACCAAAAGGTTTGCAATGTTTAAGCTCACTATTTAATTAGTATGAATTGGGAGTGTTTCTGACTTGTTAATAGATTGATTATACCCATGAAGAATTTTCTTAGCAGGTAACAGGATGAACCTCAAGATTTCTTCAGTGAAATGCCAGGTTTCTGAATTTCAGGAATGCTGTCCATTTCAGAGAGCTCCATCGATGGTTCAAAACAAATTAGAGTCGGCACACTCTAACAGAGAACACAAGTGTCCTAATCTTTCTTTTTATGTGCCATGTCCCTTCAGGACATAGGTATTCATGACTCTCCACTTCCCTCTATCCCTTGTAGCTCTCAATAAGATTTGCCTGCCAAGTATGTCATGCATTGCTTTCCCTTGTCTCTTTCCCTCTATTTGACCTGTGAGTATCAGATTCTCCAGGCCCCCTTTCCTCATTATGTGTTCCAGAAATTTCAACTGCCTCTTCCTGATATTAAGTATAAGCTTTCTCCTCTCCAAAACTTCATTGTTGCTCACAGGCTCAGTCCATGATATCCTTAGTATCCTTCTGTAAGTGTCCCAATAGATAACTTGATAGAGATGTTGACATTCTCCCCGCCCATATATACATATGTATGTGTACATATAGTGATTTTATAACATGTTATATATATATCTCCTTCCAATTGACTTGACATACAGACAAGAAATTATGGGATTACTATTACTGGAGCAAAAAAAAAATACAGGGAGTGACTATATAAAAATCAACACTAAAAACCAACCATGTGGTTTAGATACATAAATCACATCTTCATACTATGGCCTCACCAGGAAGATTTGTAAATACTGCTGGATCATGTGAATTCAATAAGACCATCCATAGAGTTCATAATGAAAAAAAGAAGTAGATCAACTGGACTTCCTGAATGTACTAATAACTTAAAGAGTATGGATTCAAAACCTCTATATATTGTAGCATTCACTGGATAATACTTGAACTTCAATTCTTACCACCCATACAGTGTCACAAAAAGGGATCATCCACTGCCTGCAACATTATGCCAAACAGACACTTACCAACAATAAGTGACTGAATGTTTTGATGTATCTGTTTAATAAATTGTGATGACATGAGTTCTGTAAACAGTGTCTATGTAAATACCACTCAACCAAAATAAGATACACATTGAAGAAAAAAAAATTTTCTTGAAAAAGAAATTGATTTATGTTTACTTGCTGAATGAATTAAAATTATATTAGCATTAGAAACATCTTTCAAGGTAACAAATACCTTGCAAGCATAACATTAACCTTCATGAGCAGAGAGAAAAGAGTCAAAGAAAACAGTAAAGTAACTATGTCTACTTTATATAAAAAGTAAAGTTGAAAAGATTAAGAGGATCTGCAGTTCATATAACATCAGGATGATATTCTAAAGCAGTTTAACCCTTTAGAGATACTTCTGAACCAAACAATGCCTGAAGAAAACATAACCAAGGAGACTGAAAGACTTTAGTCTGAGGTGAGACACTGAAATCAGGTATGGTCAATCCTATATGGTAGGAAAAGGGTGGTCATAAACCCTTGTGGAATGAAGTAAATAGACAGATAATTACAACGGGATAAGACAACTGAAAGAAACTGCACATGTGTTAGGCACTGACAACTTTCTCAGTGGACTTAGCATAGAAATGAATAACATTTGGGAGCTTCTAATTGAAAAAAAGTACTCAAAAATTCCACCAAGTGAGTCACCATACTCTTACATCGATTGGATTGATTTGTTTTTTTTTTTTTACTACTTATCAACCATTTGCAGGTTATTTAAAGACAGAAAATATTTTTAGATTGTAAATTTATTTTTTTTTATATAATTATATAATAATTGGAGGGAGAAGAGGTGGATTCATATCTTTCCAAAGGGAATTTATGTATTTTGTGGACAAGTGAATATAACGAACCCAAATGGAATTGAAACTGATTTCCAATTCTGAGATGCTAACTGTGACATCATCCAACCAGACATCAAAGCTTACAGCATCTGGTATTTCCAAGTGGTCAACCATCTAGGTACTGATCAGACTCAATGTTGCTTAATTTTGGTGATTGTATGAGAACCAAGTATATTATTACAATTCCACCACCTGAAAACACATTAGGTTTACAGCTTGACAAGTTCACCATAGGATTGTTCAAAATACATATGACCTAGTGGATCCAAGTGTTAGTAGAAAAATATTTGATCCCTGGCAGTTGTAAATTCAATCCCTGTTTAGTAATACTGAAAATTCTGAGAAAGTTACTGAGTACAATAAACAACTGAAGGCTGAAATGTAACGAGTATAGCAACCAAGATGAACAGTAAGGTATATAATGTGCAGAATTCCTCACATCAAAAATTCTAATAAAATTATCTTAAAAAGCACACAATTTCAATTAGTTTCCTAAAAGTAAAAACAATTTTTTTAGTTTTATGAAACTAATCTAACAAACTACTATAATCAAAGCAAAGAAACAGTAACATTTGTAAAAAAAAAAAAAAAAAAAAAAAATGTACCAAGTACTTTTGCTTAATTGCAAAGATAACACATTATTTTCCAGAACAAGACAGTCAATTAGTAGCCAATTGCTTCAAATCAATGGTCTGGTTTTGTTTTTAATCCCTGATAACCAACATTCAGCATTGTTCAGGCAGGGAAACATAATCAGCTTTACTAGGATTTTACAATTAATAAAGTTGGTGATTTAAAGCTGTTTATTTTTGCCAGTCTGTCAACATTCAAGTTGTCTATAAACTATCTTATCCTTATACAATATTATTATTGACATAAATGTCAGTAAACTAAGTTCTATACAATAACATTAGGATCTTTTTCTGAAGAAAATCTAACACTCACCAATAACTTAGTGCAACGAAACTGAATTTTAATGAATTGATAAATAGATATAATAGTCCTTTTAAGTTTGTCATGCTTGAATTCCTGATCAATGACAATACTATTTCTGCTAATTTGAATTGCACAACATACAGATTGAGTGCTTAAAGTTGAAACAAAATTTTAGGAAAAAAAAAGGAGGGGGAACAAAATTTTGTTATTAAATCTTCAAATTTTATTTTTAAAATGCTAATCTGTGTTAATTTTTCACTTTCTTGTATCAAGTCTAACTCACCAAAACTATTACAAATTCTTTGTGAGGGGAGGTATAAAATATACCTTTTGTATCATATAGACATATCTTAATAGGTTGCATAAGTTTTTCTATTTGAATATACAAATATTAAAGGATCAGTTTTTTTTAATTAATGTTTTATCTGTTCATAAATATACTATAAAAATTTTGGCATTTTCTATTTACTGTGTCAACTATATATGTAACTATTAGAGTGACTGAATGTTCTGATGTATCTGTTTAATAAATCCTACCTGTGATATTATGAGTTAGGTAAACAGTGAGTATGTAAATATCACTTAACCCAAATAAGATACACTTTGAGAAAATTTGAAAAAATATAAAACTTAAGAAAAAGAAATTGATTCAGGTTTATTTGCTGAATGAATTAAAATTGTATCAAGTTTTTGTCCTTGAAGCATATCTTGTTTTATTAAGGACTAAAATAACTACAAATGTTCAATTCCTTAA